GTGCATTTTATTCTTTTTCTTCATTGCTGTATCCCATGATCTTCCATTCACAGCACCTGTCACTTCTCCCTACTACCGGCAGGAAGGCACTCAGAGATGCTGTTCATCCATTGCTGCGGGTCTCTTCCTAGGCCATGCATAGTCCATCAGATCCGCTCTTCTGATGCCCCTGGCTCCGGTATCTTCCATCTGCCACACCCGCTGACTGATTTTAAGATGTAAGTTTCTTTATAATAAAGTACTACTGCTTTAATCTACACTGACCTGGCGCCCTGCTTGTCGTTCTTTTACTCCCTCGCTACTGGAGGACACCTCACCTAGGTGCCACCCACTGGTTGCCATGTGTCATGTATATGTACTTGGTTACCATTAGTAACATACTTGTTCTCTTCTCCTTAGAAACTGACTTAACACTGTAATGTAATGTGCTTCATATCTCTCTATTGCTTTCCAGGCTCAGGTTCTTTTGGATATTCCATCCCCATCATGCACCCCCTTGAATATCTTCAGAAATGTTTGACAGTCTTTACTGATCAACTGTAATGCAATAATAATAAAAATTCAAATGGTAAATGTATCTCCTAAACCTCACTAACTGATAAATGGCCTAGGCGAAGCCCATGCACTGGGAGCAGGGAACTTAACCCCTTCACATCCCAGCCTGGGTCAGTACCTAACTTGTTAAAGTGAAGCTCCACCCAAAAGGGTAAGTTCCGGAGAGGGGGAAGCGGGTACATAGTTTTGACAGATACCTGCTCCCACTTGCTCTTGGATCGCCTAGGTGATCCAAGAGGAAGTTCTCTTTCCCCCCTCCCTCCCTGCAGTCTTCTGGGACACATCATGGGTCCAAGAAGACTGTGGGACCATTCACAAAGTGCAACACGGCCTGAGCATGAGGAGTGGGCAGCCAGCTGTGAAGCCAAAAGCTGTACAGCTGCCTGTCTACAGTTAGGATGCCATCACCGGAAACCTGGAGGTTAGTGAAGAACTAGGCCGGGTGATTACAGCGCTGGATCCTTGCGTCAGGTAAGTGTTCATTTATTAAAAGTCAGCAGCTACAGGATTTGTAGCTGTTGACTTTTATTTTATTTTTTATTTTTTTACAGTCTGAACCTCCTCTTTAAGCAGTTCCCAACCTTCTTGCAAATGGACCTTCTCAGGTCCAAAAATAATATTGAGCAGAATTAAGTTCGGCCCATCTTAACAGACCTAATTTCTCATGTTGCTGATTAGGAAAATTAATTGCTCACCCCTGGACTAGTGATTTTGTTATATAGTAATTCCAGTCAATGATTTAGCAGTGAATATGGAGAGAATGACAATATACAGTAAATTTATATACTAACCACATTTATTATTCTCCTATGTGTTCTGGTTGGGCACCTATATGTGGTCAGTGATAATCACTATCATCAATACATTACCTTGTACCACTCTACATGACACTGGACAGAGATGCAGCTCACTATGCTACTGTGCAGCGACATGAATGAAGTGTTGTACACTTCAGAAAAGTTCATTTTTTAAAAAAAGCTGTGCGATACTATAAAACACATATCACATTGTCCACTTCAGCATGGCTCTGCAGCCCAAAACTATGTGTGAGCAGCAGTGGTTTGGGCTGCAGAACAGTATGAATGGTCCCTTAGATCAGAGGTCTCCAAACTGCGGCCTGAGGGCCGGATATGGCCCTTTTCTACCCTTTATCTGGCCCTTGGGGCACTATTCCTCCCATTGAGACCAACAATGCGGCAGTACTTCTTCCATTAAAACCAAAGATGGTGTACTATTCTTCCCACTAATACCAATGATAGGGCACTACTCCTACTGACCATCAACCCTGAGGCCATGTTTATTCTCACTGATGCTGGAGCGAGGACTTTTTCTATCCTCGCTGGTCCTAATCCAGGCCTCCTAAAGTCTGAAGGACAGTATACTGGCCCTTTGTTTGAAAAGTTTGGAGACCCCTGCCTTAGACAAAAGCATCAGTTTCTCTGAGAAAGATAAATCTGGGCACTAATAATGGAGACAACAGAAGTAAATGTAATAGTGATGACGTTCTGGCTTTGATTGGTCTAAGGGTGCATTCACACCTGCAAATGTACCCTGCCTCCAATTAGATGTGAAAACTCCAGGGGGGAAGGGGTTTTCTGTGAGAGGCATACCCCATTGAAAGCAATGGGAGGCTGCCAGGTCTTGCAGCGGCCACTAGCATGTAATCTGTCATGCAGCAATCACATGCGAGTGACTGCCCCAGACACAGATTGTCTGTCTGTTGCAGATGTGAATGCACCCTAAATGTCAGAGAGTAATCAATCCCTGCTGGGCCATAACTACAAATGACTATGCTACAAAGGACTCCCCCCAGCTTATTGCTATGGCTATAATTATGCCCTTAAATCCCTGCAAATTAAAATAAATACTGGACTGGCTATTTATGGTAACAGTGTGTAATCACAGGATTCTGAGCTAATCATACACTATATCAGGGGTCTCCAAACTTTCTAAACAAAGGGCCAATTTACTGTCCTCTAGACTTTGAGGGGCCAGACTGTGGCCAGTGGGAGTAAAAAAGGTCCAGATGTCAGTGGAAGTAAACCATGCCCCTTCGTTGCTGTCAGTGGGAGGAATAGCATCCCACCGTTGGTGTCATTGTGAGAAATTGTGCCCCATCATTGGTGTCATTGGGCCCCATTGTCGGTGTCATTGTGAAAAATAGTGCCCCATAATTGGTGTCAGTGGAGGGAGTTATGCCCCATTGTTGGTATCAATGGATAATATAGTGCCCCAAGGGCCAGATAAAAGCAAGCCAAGGGCCGCATCTGGCCCCTGGGCCGCAGTTTGGAGACCACTGCACTATACATTCTGATGCTGTTATGCTAAATCAGTAGCTTCAGTACATTTGTATCCAAATAAACACAAATGGAGAAAATGAAGTGAGGGATCTGCATAGTGAGCCAGCAATTCAGGAAGTATTAAAGACAATCCAACATAACAGCCAGGCAGCTAGCATTATGAGTAGAAAACAAACAAGACAGCCTACATATTTTTATTATGACAGGTTTTTCTTTAAAACTGGAACCTTCTGTATACAGAGTCATCCTGTTGATTGTGAAAGATATTTGCTATGGAGTAAATGGAACTTGTAATCCAGCATGTTTTAGAAGATAGGGGTTACAACAGTTTATATACAGTATACAAGTTAGTTCTAATTTCATTTGGACTAGATACTGTAGATGTTATATTTAAAGAATGCAAAGTCATCTGGATAAAATGTCATTGCACTGGTCCTATCTATGCCAGCGGACAATCAGAAACAGAGCAGCTGTTTATCTATTTATACCCACTCTCCAGCCAGTTACCAGGTCAAAGTTGCAATGAAAAGTTCAATGTTATTAGGGAGCAGCTAGTGCTCTACTGTAATACTTTGGGGATTTTAAATGATGCTCATTTGTTAATATTGAGACTAATGTGTACCAGGAACAAATTCTCTATACATTTACACCACCTCCAGCCTAGGCAGCTGTTGCAAAGGCAGTATGGTTCCTTGGATTCATGCCATCATTTGGGTCTGACTGTCTGCATGTTGCAACATACTGTAAATACAGATTTGTTGGATCAGGAATGTTTTTCCATTATTCAGTAGTCTAGGTTGAAAAGCCAATCTTTTGGTCACCGTTGACTTTCAGTTTGTAGACTATAGCGGTTTAATGGGCATTTCTTCCCAGCCCCTCATACATCCTCCTGATAAATTCCTTAAAGATCACCCAATTGTTCTTAGAATTTTCTGAAACCTGGCCAGAGGGAATAACAGTCTGATGGGCCGTACAAGTGGGTAAAATTTTAAGAATGTAAACTGGTCATTAAACAGAATTGGAGACATTTGTATCATTTACATATTACTATCATCTACTTCTGCTTTACTGCTCAGTTCTGAGTTGCCCTTAGAGTGATTTCTGAAGTACTTTAATGTGCTAATACATAGACATTCCTCCTCTGCATTCCCCAGCAGCCACCTAAACCCAAAATGTGCACAATTATACCCATCTTAAGTTCGTTCTCCCTGCTGTCACATCCCATAATGCAAAATGTTTACCGCTTAATAAAAGAGGAGGAATTTTAATAAGTTAGTGCTATGTAACAGCATCTTGTGTTGCCTACTTTTATCCCCGTATGCTGGTTTGAAAATTTTAGGGACAGGTTTATTTTAAGGGGCAACTCAGCACCCAGCAGTAAAATAGAGTTAGAGTTCTTGTAATATACAAGAATTTCACAAATTTTCAATTTCCACTTATTGAGATACTGTTACACTACAAGTTATAAAATGACCAACTTATTGCAACAAAGGTGAGTAGAACCCAGAGACAAATAAGGTTAGGTTCACACTGTTACGAGCCAAGTTTGAATGCAACTTGGATGCAACTACTGGTTTATATATTCTATAGGGCCAAATCTTGCTGGAATCACACCAAGGTAGTACAGGAACCTTTTCCAAAATTGCACCATGGATTTCCATTGTCATGTGATTCTGTGCAACTCAAGTTACATTTGAAATCGCACCAGTGTGAACCAAGCCTAAACAGAATTCAGGTTAGCTGCTCACATAAGCAATCCAATAAAAACTAGCTAACTGTACCCCATTGCTCTTTGTTATGAACATGAATAATAGAACATCCAAGAAAAAAAAATGTGGACTGTATTTTGGTAGTATATGTAATACAATTGAAGAAATAAAAACCTGACAGCTAGTGAATAAGACAAAATGCATAAATTGCATCAAACGCCAGCATTTGTCTGACAGCGGTAAACCAAATTTTATTGCTCACTTTAAGGTGCTGTTTTTTTGCACACCCTTATTGTTTTTGTGCTGTGCTTTTTGACTATGACCACTGTTATGTGAATAAAATATCTTCACAGTCCTAAATAAAGTTATTACATCTCCATTTATAATTCAACTATTGCATGTGGATAAAAATACTTTGAAAGTGTTTCCTACTTACCTTCACCAAAGTTCTGATCAAATATCTTTGTTGGATTAGCAAACTCATACTCAACACTCATGGGATATGCATGGGGCACAGTTTTATCCTCCATTAGATGAAAAGTTACTGAGCTCAGTGGTTGATTGTCTTTATAGAGTCCTCCTCGCAATAGCAATGGGATGTAGCGGATTCATGTTTTATTAGTGGAAAGTTAAAAGGGAGGGGAGTGCTGTGACAAAATATGGCCTAAAATAGTCCTAAATACAAAGGATTAGGACTTACCTTGAATAGAAAAGAGATAAACTTCAATGTGTTTTCATTGTGTACAAATAGCATTAGTGCCCCGACACAGTGAACTATAGTCTCAGGCTACATTCCAGAAGCTCACTGCAGTGAACAGGAAAGACTAGATAATTGAGCTGCTATTGGTTTCATTGCTTTGTTATATTTTAATGCTTTATCATTTTGAATTTTAGGTAGTGCTAGGTCTTGGTTTATAATTGTAGAATTGTGATGATGCTGGAGTTTGCTCAGTGCTGTTTAAGTGTACCTGAACCCAATATATTGTTGCATGTGTTCCTTTAATGTCAAAAAGTTGCATCTTTTTTAATATTTTTTATCTTTTGATATAGTTATCCTGTCCCAGTAAGTTGGATCCATACACACTTTGTCTCATGTGAGCTCCCATGTTGAACTACAATCAAGCATGGCAATGCATGGTGCCACACACTGCCATATTATGCATTGACTCTGCTTACCTTGGGCATCCTCTTTTGATTACTCACCATGAATACTTTTCATTTCATAGCTCACCTTATGGGGCTTTTTGTTAAGACCAGTTCATGTGGCATCCTTGTATAGTGGCTATCAGAGGTCTATCTGTTTTTCAAACAGGACTAAGACGTACACGTATCTTCCTCAATTACTCTTCAACATCTTCCATCCACCTAATCCCAGACCTGTCTCCTTCGCATGATCCTTCTGCTTTCCTGTATAGTACTTTCTTTACAGCTTTATTTTCTGTCATTCTCTAATGTTCTGAGCCACTTCAGTCTACCATTTTTTTTTTTTAATTTTACATTTGGCTTAACAATATAACTTCCTCCTCTGCTCCAAGCTGAACTTTTCCACTGTACCCTGAGTACTGGGTGTAAACAGAGCCAACAATGCTCTAAACAAACTGAAGGGAAATAAAAGCCACTGCACACCGATGACATCATTCTAATCCAAATTTACTTCACAGATAGCCACAGTAGCAGTCCTCGCCAAAGAGCTGCCCTCTCTAATGTGTTCTATCCAATAGGACTTATGTTACCATCCGCTTTGATCACTTTTTCTCTTACAGAATTTGTAAATACTTTATTTTAATTAAGCAGTTCCACCTTTCCTGTTGTGACATTTTTGCTCTAATTTATAATGGGAGTTGCTTATCAAACTCATTGTTGCATATTTTTGCATGTTTTTACTGGCAGTTAGATGGAAACCACATGTTTTGTTATAATATGAGACATATTTAAATACATTGACTAACATATTTTAACCTATTATAAATTTGGGATAGCAGAGTCACACTGAGTAATTCTCTGTCAACTATTTAGGATCAAACATACCAAGAATTAGGATGATTTAAGCCAAATTAGACGTTGATCAGGAAAAACAGTCTTCAGAAATTTTAGCTTAGTTCTTAGCATAGAGAGCTACGTTTGGCATGGATAGAAACTTTATATTATGGAACTGTTCGGAAATTCAGTTGTTTATGATAATAAGGAAAATTTGTAGGAAACATTCATGAGGAAGTGGACTGGCTTCAGTTTTAGGAAATACGACCCTACGGTTGCTCCAAGGTTGTGTCAACAATGGCATGGCAGATGTAAGATATTACACAATTCTCACATCTATTTTAAGGAAGATGAGACATCCAGTTATATGGCTTCGTACCAAGGTTAATATATATATATATACAGTGGGGATCGAAAGTTTGGGCACCCCAGCTAAAAATGTGTATTAATGTGCATAAAGAAGCCAAGGAAAGATGGAAAAATCTCCAAAAGGCATCAAATTACAGATTAGACATTCTTATAATATGTCAACAAAAGTTGGATTTTATTTCCATCATTTACACTTTCAAAATAACAGAAAACAAAAAAATGGCGTCTGCAAAAGTTTGGGCACCCTGCAGAGTTAATATCGTGTACTGCCCCCTTTGGCAAGTATCACAGCTTGTAAACGCTTTTTGTAGCCAGCCAAGAGTCTTTCAATTCTTGTTTGAGGTATGTTTGCCCATTCTTCCTTACAAAAGTCTTCCAGTTCTTTGAGATTTCTGGGCTGTCTGTCACGCACTGCTCTTTTAAGGTCTATCCATAGATTTTTAATTATGTTGAGGTCAGGTGATTGTGAAGGCCATGGCAAAACCTTCAGTTTACGCCTCTTGATGTAATCCCCCGTGGATTTCGAGGTGTGTTTAGGATCATTATCCATTTGTAGAAGCCATCCTCTCTTTAACTTCAGCTTTTTCACAGATGGCATCAAGTTACCATCCAAAATTTGCTGAAATTTTATTGAATCCATTTTTCCTTCTACTCCTGAGATGTTCCCTGTGCCACTGGCTGCAACACAACCCCAAAGCATGATTGATCCAACTCCATGCTTAACAGTTGGTTCTTTTCATTAAATTCTGTGCCCCTTCTTCTCCAAACGTACCTTTGCTCATTCCGGCCAAAAAGTTCAATTTTAACCTCATCGGTCCACAGAACTTGTTTCCAAAATGCATCAGGCTTGTCTATATGTTCATTTGCAAAGTTCAAACGATGATTTTTGTGGGGAAAGTTTTGTTGTTATACATATAGGTAGATTTTTTGGTAAAAGAGGGTAGATTCTCTTTTGGACCTGTTTATTTGATTTTAAGCTTTCAGGGGTTGAAAGTTTTTTCCAATTTGAAATCAGTGTAGGTTTAAGGGTGTTTTTGGATATCATTTTCACATTGTATTTATAAAATCTAACTTTTGTTGACATATTATAAGAATGTCTAATCTGTAATTTGATGCCTTTTGGAGATTTTTCCATCTTTCCTTGGCTTCTTTATGCACTTTAATACAAATTTTTAGCTGGGGTGCCCAAACTTTCGATCCCCACTGTATATATATATGCTGTCCTGAGAAAACAGGTTTTCTGGGTCTTCAAAATTACAGCTGGCAGAAACGATTAGTGCTAGGCACCAGAGTTATTCTCTCATTGAACCGTAGTTTACTTTTATTTGCAGTGGTGTCTTCTTACTAGAAGACAATGGAGTCAATTGTCACTTAAGCACTAGTTCCACCCTTTTAGTTTAAAGCTATGCCAGCAATAAGTTTTCAGTTCACAGCATGTGATTTTTTTTGTGTTTCTGTTCCCCAGCTTATTAACTGAATCCAGTCAAAAAAAATAAAACATATTTTGAAAGAGGTAAAATGGAGAATAGCCAAATCTAAAGTATAGGCATTTGCATGTGCATAGGAGTCTTCCCAAGTATTAAATTGTTGCAGTAAAGAAGAGTGTAAGAGCCAATACACATAGAGTAAGTGTCTAAGTGAAGCCATTGTTGAGTGGTGAACCTCTCTTTTTTTTAATTCTATTTAATGAATTTAAAAAAAAGAGAAGAACATACAAAACTGAGCCTCTGGGCAGTCCCTGGCTCGGCAATCACTTCTAACATTGGTTACTAACAATTACCACGTAAATAACAGCTACGTAACAATCTGTAGTGTAATACCTGTGCTCAGTTCTACTAAGAAAAAACTGATACCATTTACATTCGTCTCCGTCACAGTGCCTGAACATAGGAGAATGAAGGAGACCATGGAAACTGCTCTCAGACTACTACAGGAGACTAAAAAAACTACTCTGTAGGCCATGGCCCATATAGAAGTATTGCAGAAGTAAAGCAATAACGTAAACAGTAGAATTATAGTGATGCATTAGTGTCTAGTGATAGCCGAGACTCCAGTGCTCATCGCTGGATCGAGAGGGGGCTTAGGTGAGTATTGGGGAGGCTGGGGGATATGCTGCACAGAGAAGGTTTTTTACCTTCATGCATGGAATGCATGAAGGTAAAAAAACTTGACCCTTTAGAACCACTTTAATATTCAGCCCTCTTGGGCTATTCACTGCTTACCCTGCCTACATCTGGGTAGCATTTTAATCTCCCCAGGTACTATCAGCCTTTAAAAAACTGCACTATTGAGAGTGCCAGAAAAATATGCTGTCCATCCCTCTGTTAAATATTTAGTTTCATTTAAAATAGATGTAAACGCAATCATAAACAAATACTACTACTAAACATATTTTCATCCTATATGAAACTCAATTAAAATAATATCTGATAGTCCTGCTATGAAGGTCCTTGTTCATGTATTTCCTGTTAGGGATTGTCATGTTTCACATGGCTGTCATATTGACTGTCATATGCCTTTAAGTGTTTCTATATTTTGTTTCTGCTCTTCCCTTTCCTTTGGTTTAGTTAATGCTGTATAGATAGCCCAACCCCCTTCCCAGTAATGCATTGCAGCTCTATCCTCATGTCATGCAGTAGATCACGTTATGATCTTTTGACCTATCAAATGTTCATTGTTGTAAGATTCTCTCAGTTTATGGAATAAACTTCACAAGATCTACAAGATGTCTTATGATTGAGTCACTGACTGTGGTATCCAACTGAGGTTGAAGTTATCGCTATCTCATCACAACTACGCTGATGACACGCAAATGTACCTCTCCACCCCCCCACCTTACCCCTTCAGTCTCCACCCGTATCACCCACCTACTGAACGACATATCAGACTGGATGTCGCTCCATTTCCTCAAATTGAACCTTTCCAAAACCGAGCTCCTAATTTTCCCCCCAGCCCGCGCCCTCCCCCATTCTCTCCATAACGACCAACAACACCACCATCAGTCCCACCCTGCAAGCCAAAGTCCTAGGTGTCACTCTAGACTCAAACCTATCCTTCCAACCCCATGTCCAATCGATAGCAAACTCATGCAGGCTCCACCTCCGCAACATCTCCAAGATACGTACGTTCCTAACCCCAGACACCAAACAACTCAGTCAGTCACTCCCTTATTATC